ATTTGTAAACGAGATTCAGGGAAAATAAAGTTATGGAAGAAGAGAAAGGCATTAGATCGATATCACATGACAACTATGAATGACATTACATAAGCTAATAATGAATATTGATCTAACCCTAACTGATATAATTCTCTTGGGAGTATAGCATGCAGGGGCAGGATGGAAAGTGATCCATGGTGGGGCAGAGGGAAGAAAGGGAGCTCAGTTTTCACTTTACATGGAGGGAAGCCAGTAGATGGTGCTTAAAAACAAAAATTAGTGACCGTGTTGTTTAGAGATATGGAGGGAAATACTAAAAGAAACATCTACAGGAGGTGAAAGTAGTTGCCTCTGAGAAGGAAATTGGAGGGGGGAAGGGTCAACTCTTTATTGTAATAGACCTTGTAGCCCTACCTGAAGCCTCAAACTATGTGCATATATAACTTTGAAAATAAAAACAATAAAAATGAAAAGAGAGGAAATAGAGATAGATTTTACTGTGAAAGAGAATTAAGCGTGGAAGAGTGTTTTTCTTTTGGTTTCCTTTCTTTCTCCCACCTTTCCTCATCCCTCCCTCCCTTTCTCCCTTCCTTTCTTTAGTAGAAGAGCCTTGCATGGGTTTATTTGCCATGGAGGAAGAACCAGTAGGGAGAGGCAGGGGTCGAAGAGAGGGGAATGGGAAGGGAGCAGTGTGAGCACAGGTGGAGGGATTAGCTTTGTACTGGAGAAGGCATCTTAACCTTGGTTGTCTCGGAGAATTGGTTTAGATGTCAGTGTTTGTTGGTAGGAAGTAGGAAGTTGAAATCGTTCATCCCTCGTCGTTTAACGTCTGTGAAAAACAGAAGGGGAAGTCACTGTGAACATGTGGAAGGTTTGGAAGATTAGTAGGATGGGAGCAGGAGAGGGAGGTGACCAAGGACATGGAGTGCGACAAAGGGTTGTCAAGATATTGAGGGCCCAGCGGGGGCTGGAGACCGTAAATTTGTCCTGGCCCCACATTTGTATCCAGCACAGTGTGGGTGCACCTAGGACATGTTAAAAAAAAATATGTGCTGAATGAACGAATAAATATGGTTGTGTGAGTTTTCTCTGGCAGTGCTCAGCAGCCCAGTGTTGGAGTGGAGAAGGGCAGGGTGGTGGTCAACAGAGCCAAGGGTGGGGTTTGAGAGCGTGTATTGTGAAAGGAGCAAGAGTTGAGGGTGCTGATGAGAAAGTGGTGGATATGATAATCTTGAACTTAGTCTGGAAAGAAAAGGAAGTGTCAAATTGTGAGGAAACAAAGGGTCAAGAGCTTGTGACAAAAAAAAAAAAAAGGAAGCCATTAAAAAAGCAAGATGATAATATGCTATATTAAAATTAAAAACTTATGAATCATTAAAAATACCAGAAATAAAATACTTTGAAACTGGAAGTGATGGTCACACAACATTGTGAATATACTAAATGCCACTGAACTGTACACTTTAAAATGATTAACTTTGTTATATGAATTTGACTTCAGTAAAAAGAAAAAAAAGAACTAGAAACATTAAAAAGATAAAGTGTGAAAAATATTTGCAAAATTTATGACAAAGGGCTAATTTCCTTACTACATAAAGAACTCTTAGGGGCCTGCCAGTGTGGCTCAGTGGTTCAGCATCGACCTATGAACCAGGAGGTCACAGTTTAATTCCAGTCAGGGCACATGCTTGGGTTGGATTGCAGGCTCAATTCCATGTGGGTGTGCAGAGGCAGCTGATCAATGATTCTCATCATTAATGTTTCTCTCTCTCTCCCTTCCTCTTTGAAATCAATAGATAATTTTTTATTTTTTTAAAAAAAGAGCTCTTAGAGTACATTAAGAAGATAACGTTGTGGATCATAAGAAAGAAAATACCTACTAAGATGGGCTCCTGGTGGCTAACTGGGCTCAAATTAAAACAAAAACAATCCTGCACTGTGTTTCTGCCACCTGAGCCAGCCCTTATAAAGGAGTGCCTGGAATCCTATTTCAACCAATAGAACTGAGGCTTTTCCCATCCAATTGGAGCTGCACAGCTATACCTTCCTCTCCACCCCCCATCAGCTTCACCAACCAGAGAAGCTCCATTCTGCCCAATGAAGACTGTGTTTTGTTTTGTTTTGTTTTGTTTAAGACTGGTTTTTGGACCAATCAAATTGTGAGAAATTGGAGTCCTCGTTTGCACGAGAATAGACCAGGGACCATGGTGGGATGTCCCTCTATATAAGTTAGGTCCCCTCTGGCTGCACTGAGAGTACACTTTCCACTGAAGACCTTGTTTCCCTGGCTGGAGCTAAAACACTGAAGATGTCTCCTCGGAGCACACCAGCACAAAGCAGATCAGTGAGGCCCCAGGGCCACTTCAGGTCATGCTGTTTTCACAGCCCAGCTGTAGCACAACTGAGCTGTTTTGCACTGAATAAAATTTCCCTTTTCACCGCACCCCAGATTGGGGGTTCCTGTTGGCGTTGAATTGGCGCCAATGACCACGGGTTGACATCAACCCAGTAACCAGTAAATCCGGTTCATCCATCCTCACTCCTAAACAAAAAAATGCAAATTGAAACTAGGGCGATGTCACGTGCCACCTGTTTGATCGGCAGTGATAAAAAAGATGCTCACCGTCTTTAACCCACCAACTCTGCTTTATGAATTTGCTCTACAGATATACTTGACATGGGCAGAAGGACATATTTTCAAGGACAATTGCTGTAATATTGTTTGAATTAGCAAGAGTGGACCTCCTCCATGTCTATTGATAGGAAACTGGTAAAAATAAACGACATCTAGGCAATAGGAAGCTATGCAGCTCTTTAAAAGAATGAGGTAGGCCCTATCCGGTTTGGCTCAGTGGATAGAGCGTCGGCCTGCAGACTGACGGGTCCTGGGTTCGATTCTGATCAAGGGCACGTGCCTGGGTGTCAGGCACATCCCCAGTGGGGGGTGTGCAGGAGGCAGCTGATCGATGTTTCTCTCTCATAGATGCTTCTAACTCTCTATCCCTCTCCCTTCTTCCCTGTAAAAAATCAATAAAATATATTTTAAAAAATTAAAAAAATAAATAAAAGAATGAGGTAGATCTCTGTGTATTGTTAAGGGAATGCTCTCCTAGCTACCTTACTAAAGGAAAAAAGGTGTAGAAGAGTGTTCATAGTATGCTACTATCTGTATTTAAAATAAGAAGGATACTCTGGTTTCTCTTCAGATCGCATAAATCTTTCGCCTTTTACTAACATAAGGAGGAAATGTATAGTCATGTATGTATGACTGAGTTTGAATAATATCTTTGGAAGAGTAATCAAAGAACTGGGGTAGTGGTTACCTCTGGGAATGAGAAATGGGAGACCGGAATCAGAGGCGGGAGGGTGCCTTCTTTTCACCGTTTACTGTTTGAAATTTTTTAAAAAACCATCCACATGTTTTTATCTTCTTAAAAACATATAAAGCTAAAAGAAAAAAGGCATTGTTTCTCACAATGTGTGCTAATTCAAAATCCCGATTTCATGGATTCTTCCTGGGACTACTGAATTGGAATCTGGGCAGGGAGAGCCTGGGACTCTGTTTTCCTTTTGCATTCCAGAGGATTCTGATTCACCCGAAGTTTGAGATCCATGGGCCCAAAGCTCAGAGGTCAAGGAGCAGGTTCATGGGAGTCAGGGGTGTGACAAAGACCAGGGGGTGCAGGGGGTGCTACTGTGGAGAGGTAGGCAAGATCATTGGCATTTTGGCAGCGCTTAAAGCAGTGGTTCTCAACCTTCTGGCCCTTTAAATACAGCTCCTCATGTTGTGACCCAATCATAAAATTATGTTCTTTGCTACTTCATAACTGTAATGTTGCTACAGTTATGAATCATCATGTAAATATCTGATATGCAGGGTGGTCTTAGGCGACCCCTGTGAAAGGGTCGTTCGACCGCCAAAGGGGTCGCGACCCACAGGTTGAGAACCGCTGGCTTAAAGCCTGTGGGTAAATGACTTAATTAGGTGTTATGAGCTGTAATCGGCGTGTATGGGCTGTCCTATCTGCCTTACCAGCCGCATCTGGAGCTACTTTGCTTGGGGCTCTTTGTCGTGGTCCCTCTGGCCTTCCAATCCCTGAATAAGCTGTTCCTTTTTGCCTCCACTTGTGGTGTTGTCATTGCCTGGAATGTGGACCTCCCCCCTGATGTTTCAGTTCTCTGCTCAAAGGTCACTTCCTCCAGGAAACTCTTCCCCAAGCCCCAGTCTAGGTCAGAGCTCTGTCACGTGTTCTTACAGCTCCTATACTCCTTTGGAGCACAGACATTGTAATTAAATAATTAGGGAGTGACTGAATGTTTGGTTAGGTCGCTGCGATGTCCCTGTGCTATGCCTGGCACATAATAGGGACTTAAAATCCAGACTATTCATAGGATGAATGAGCCTTAAAGAGGAAAAGGAGAGAAAGTCTGTGCTACAGGAGCGGGAGTGGGTGGTGGAGGGAGGAATGTCTGTGGAGTGTTACTCTCTCCAGCTCAGCCTCGGGTTTTGGCCAAGTCTCAGGGAGTCTCTGATGAACATCAGAGTTGGATGCTGCTGCTCGGACTTGCCTACGGCAGCATGACTGTCTGACTGCCTAAGGCCTAGGCTTCCATGTCTGAATGTAAGTCCCAGGCTCCACGGAGAGTGTGACTTCTGTCTGGCGAGGCTGCCGCTGAGCCCCAGGAAGGGGCTGCTTGAGGAGCCTCAGGAGCAGTGGCAGCGGATGCGCCAGGTCAGAACAGGTCGCCCTGCGGTCACGTGTGGGGGCCGCACCAGGGAAGCGTCTAAGCTTGGTGGCTTTTTCCAAACTGTGCCCTTGAATTCGGACTGCGCAAATTAGGTGTCGGTGTTTACCTTGGAACACAGGTACAGCCCAATCACTCAATAAACAGGACTTGACGGCCTGTGGGCCAGGTGCCATGTGGGTCCAGGGGAGAGGTTAGGTCCTCACCCACAAGCTAACAGACTCATGGATGGGCACATTCCTCCAACGCTACATAGAAAACACACACCCGCATGCCTATTAAAAGGTTTATTCTTTATGCTCAGAAACAAAGAAGTGGCCTTGCCCCTGCCAAGGGTCTCAGCTTGAAGGAATGGGAGGCAGATAGTGACAAGAGGGAATGAGTATGCAGTTCTTTCTCCCCCCTTTTCCTACTATCACTCCTCTTTTCAGCATCCCCCTCCAAAAATTTTAGGTATGAACACAGCTTGCCACCCACTGGGGGGTTGGGGTAGCACAGCTGTAGTCAAAACATTAATGCCCATGTTCAACAGGAGATGGGTCCAGTGCGTATGGAGGCTGGGGGGTGGGAAATAGGAGAGGGACGGGGGGGAGGGAAGGGTTGGTTGAGGAAGCTGCTGGAAGGAGGGGAAGGGAAAAGGGGCTGGGACCCACCCCAATGACAGTGGGGATCTTGGTCCTGCCCCTACCTCTCCCAGCACCATCCACTCCCTTCTTCCAGCCCCCCTTCCTAGCAGAATTGGTCATCGTAGTCCTCATCCTTCATCCCCTTCAGCCGGAGCCGGGCAAAGTCCTCAAATACGATGTCATCATCTGTGGCATAGCTTGGTGGTGGAAAGTAGGGGTTGAGGCGAGGGCTTCAGACCCTCTTCTCAACTTCCCACTCTCCGCCCACAGACCGAGGTGTTAGAGCGGCAATGGGACCGGAGATATTTTCGGGAAGGGACAAAGAAGGGGCAGGTGATTTGATGACTCAACCATCCCTCCCCCCAAGGAGGAAAAAATGGCGGGGGAGGGGTAGAAGGTAGATTTGAGTATTATGGGAATCTTTGTCCAGGAGTCAAAGGTAGGAAGGGAGGGGATGAGGGACTTACTTGGTATCAAATTCAATGAGATTGGTGTCCACTGGGGCATCTGTTTCAGGAGTAACTGAGGGGAGGAGGAAAGTGGATGGTTGGGTGGGTAGGACCAGCTTTCTCCACTGGCCTGGGTTCGGGTCCTCCCTTTGGGGCTTGGGGTGACATGCTTACCTGACTGAGGTCTGGGGGCGGTGACGTGGTCATGGGGCTTGGGGTGCATAAGAACAAAAGGCAGCTCCACTGAGACATCCCTGGGGAGGGGGAGAGGCAGCATGAAGAGATGATGACAACGCAGAGCTGGAGGAAACCACGTCAAGCCCCACCCCGGGCTGCCCAACACACTCACCCACCGCGGGCCACCACCAGCTTCACCTTGACCCTGTACGACACCAGGATCCCCAGCACCTCCTTGTTGGCACCCTCTTTCACGCTGCAATCGGGGGAAGGAGCTGGATCATGGCCCACAGCCCGGCACATCAGCCCACCCTTAGGGCTCCCATCGGGACCCTGAGCAGGACCACAAACTCACACCAGCCGCAAGGCTCCAGCAGCACAGGCTGTGCTGTCATAGCCAAGGCCTGCACGCCATTCCTCTGCACAGAACCCTCCCATGGCTGCTCATCTCTCTCCCAATAAAAGCTGAAGTCCTGTGACCTCACAGCCCTGCACTGTCTTGCTCTTCATTAGCCCTCCAACCCCACCTGCTACTCCTGTCTTTGTAGTTCATTCTCACTATGCTGGCCTCTAGGCTTGCTCTGAGTGGTGGTGCAGTGCACAGAGAGGCTGGCAGCGGATTTCTTCAGACACACCGGCTCCGCTCACCTCTGGGTCTGTGTTTGCAGTTTCTGCCTGGAACACTCCCCCTACACATCCATATTGCCTACTTCCTTTGGGCTCTTACTCAAAATTCACCCGTGGATTATGTCTTCCCTAGCCGCCCTATTCCAAGTTAACACACCCTGCCCCTCTCTCTGCCTTGCTTTTTCTCCTGAACACTGGTCACTAAACCTGCTTTATATCTGCTTTATCTGTCCTCCCTCCCCTAGAATGTAAGGGGCCTTTTGTCTCTTTTGTTCACTGATAGAGCCTGGCACCTAGGGCAGAACCTGGCACACGGCTGGTACTGAATGAATATCTCTCTCCTGGGCTGCAAGTGAACCCTCCCCCCCTACAGAGCCCCCCCTCACATGGTGCTGGAAGCCAGGTTGGTGTCCTCGTGCTTGAGCTTCCCATCCAGGGCAAGGCCGCGCTTCTCCCGGTTGTCACTGAGCAGCGGGGTTACGGTGTACACCTTGCAGAACGTGGAACTGGGAGATACCTGGTCACTGGACAAGAGAACAAGACAATTGGAGCGGCCGGGTTGGGTGAGGGGCAACTCCTAACCCCATCGCTAGCCCCTTCTCTCTCTGGGCACGAGTCATAAGGGAGTAGGTTTTGGCTCAAGCTGCTCAAGAGAATTAACAGCTCAGAGCCACCTGACTGGAGAGAATGGCCTTGAAAGTGGAGATGGTTTGGGAAGAATTCCACCCCCACCTCACCTTCTCCCGGGTCTACTCTGCTCCCTTGAGGGTGGGACCCAGGGCTGCTCTGATACTCACTCTTGTTCGATCTGAGCCACGGGGCACTTGTACTGGGCAGTGCTGAAGAGGCAGATGTCGGCATACTGTCTCACTGTGGGGCGGGCAGGGTCAAGCAGCTCTGCATGGAGCCAAGACTAGCGCCCCACTCCAGACCACAGGATAAGGGCCCAGGCCACCCCCGCCCCCACCCCCGGTCCTCCCTGTAGTAGTGAACACCTGATCTGTATCTCACTCTGGGACTGCTTAAATTCATTATTTTTTGAATTTATTTTTAAATATATTTATTTATTTATTTCAGAGAGGAAGGGAGAGATAGAAACATCAATGATGAGAGAGAATCATTGATCGGCTGCCTCCTGCACATCCCCTACCCATAACCCAGGCATGTGCCTAGAACTCCTGGTTCATAGGTCGATGCTGGCCGGGCAGAGCCTAAATTCTTTGAGCCCTGCTGGCTAGAGGCCCCAGGAAGAGGCAGAGAGGAAAGGACCCTTGAGCTGAGGTGATGCCAGATCATGTGTGCAACTCCCTCCCCCAAGACCACGTTCCAACCCCCACCTCCTACCAGAGACTTTGATCTTCTTGATAGTCTTGGTGGAGTTGTTGGTGACGTGAACATTGACGCTGAGGGGCTCCCCGTGGTAGTACAGCTTTTGAGGGGAGGGAGGTCAAATTAATTGGTTGTTTTCACTGGTCCCAGGATCAGTGAGCCCAGACACAAACACATTGCTTGGCCTCTTCCCTCTAAACCAGGGGTCCTCAAACTTTTTAAACAGGGGGCCAGTTCACTGTCCCTCAGGCCGTTGGAGGGCCGGACTATAGTTTAAAAAAAAAAACTATGAACAAATTCCTATGCACACTGCACATATCTTATTTTGAAGTAAAAAACCAAAACGGGAACAAATACAATGTTTGTATTTGCATGTGGCCCGCGGGACGTAGTTTGAGGACCCCTGCCCTAAACCCAAGCCCACAGCAACTCTCCACAGCTAGCTCAGGCAGCCTCCTTTAAAAACGCCACCTTCGCATGTGGCTTCACCCCTCCCCCAGGGTCCGGCCTGCACTGTAGCGCCTGCATCACTCTCTCACACCCCACCTCCTTGTCCAGGGAAGCCTCAAGGTGCAGGGACCGGTCGGACATGAGGAAGTGGCGTGTGGTTTCAGCTGAAGGCTGGGGGCCGGGTTTCTCTGGGGCAAACTGCACCTTTCGGATCACCAGCCGCACAGAGTTCCTGGGGGTGAGGGTTTATCCCTTAGACACCCAAACCACCACTCCCACCTCCCTCAGGGGCTGGGGCTCCTGGGAGCCGGGGTGGAATGGGCAAACCACAGGGGCGGTGGCTTCCCTCACCTTTTATGGCTTTTCTCTTCTAGTGATTTGGCACAGAAGGCTCGGATCTCAAAGTCTACGCCACAGGCCTAGAGGGGGAGGAAAAGTTAGGTCTTGCACAAGGCCCCTGCCATCACCACCACCACCGCTTCCTTCCTTCCCTCCTCCCGCAGTCCTGGGCAGGAACTCTTGCCCCATCCTGGTCTGAGGAGCAGAGGGCCTGGCCCTCCCTCATCCTCTGCCTGCTCAAGGCCTGGCGCCTGGCAGAGGCTTTATCCTGGCTGTGCAAGGTGAGCCCTAATACCCAGGTACACGCAGGTCAAGAGCAAGAAGCAGGGTCACACATGCGCAGTGGCCATCCCAAACACAACCATGTCCACTGGGAACAATACTCTACCCTCCATCCCATCCTGGCTTCTCGATAGCCCACCCCCAGCTCATGGGCCTGCTGGACCCTCCTCTGCCCCACCAGCCTCAGAACCGTCTCTCCGTACCTTCCCTGTGTCCTCTGGGCCCGGCTGCAGCGTGACGGAGCAGGGCAGATTCTGGGGTATCTGTGGCAGAGGGAAGGGGAGACTTCAGTTCCCCTGGAAGCCCCCAAGTCTTCCTCCCAATCTCCATTTAAGAGGCTGGAGAAGAAGTCCTGGGGATGAGAAGGAAAAAGGAGAGGCCCCAGGAAGAGGCAGAGAGGAAAGAGCCCTGAAGGGAGGTGGGTCTAGGGTCCCTCCTTACTGTTTCCCCCAGATCTGCCCATAACTGGTGTTTCACACCCCAGACACAGTCCCAGACCCCTTGCCCTGCAAAAGGTGGGGGCGGGGGGGGGGCATCCTCACTGTGAAAAAAAAGGGGTGGGCATGCTGGCCCAGCTCCCTCAGCAGCCGGTCCTGCAGGCGGGTGGGGGGCCGGGGCGGGTTGGACGTTGGGGGGAAGGCCTGGTAGGTGGCGATGAACAGGTCTTTGCGGAAGGACAAGCCCAACACATCCAGGTCTTCGCGGCCATAGCGAAAGGCGCAGGTGAGGGTCACAAACACTGGCAAGGGAGGGCAAGGTGGTGGTCAGGAGCTCCCCTTCTCCAGTCCTCCCAGGGCCTAGCAGCAGCTGCTGCTCGGCAGCCGAAGGCTTGCCTGAATCCTACACCTGGCTTGTGCCTCAGCCCTCCCTCTCTCTGGGGCCCCTCTCAGTGCCAGCCCATTTCACATTCTCCCCCACCTCCCCTTGAGCCCCTAGAGTTGGGGGCCAGTACCTTTGCGGTCCTTCAAGTAGTCAGGGTCCACAAGCACCACGCCATCTAGGAAAGGGACATGTGAGCTGATTTCCCGCCAGGACCTCTCCTCTGTTCCTGGGCCCAGGGCCTTCTCCTCTTGGGGGACAAGATGCCCCTTTGCGGGCACACTTACCTACGGGATCCACTTTGTCCAGGTGATCTACAAAGTCCCGCTTGCCCAAGTACACAGTGAGCTGAGGATGGAGAGGGGTCACAGGGAAGATTGGGTAGGAGAGTGGTAGGGCATCAGCACCTCACAAGGGCTGTCCTGCCCCTGGTCTTCCCAGGCTGGAATGTCCAGGGGTCCTGGTTTCCTCCCAGTAAGCTGGAAGGGGAGGTGGTGGGGCCTCGAAAGACCACCCCGCTTTGAGGCTTTTTAGCTCCTCCCTAATATCTTTTCGCACCTCTGCACAGTGATCGGATGTGTGGGCTGCGCGTGTGGGTTTGTGGGTCACAGCCAGAGCGGGGCTCTGGGGTAAATGGGCCATGGCCTGAGGGCTGCAGGCATGGGTTTCTGGCTCCTCCCCCCTCAGTCTTGCTTAGGGACCTGTCCCCACCCAGCCCTGTGGCTGGCTTAGGCGGAGCAGCCTTTGTGGCAAGGGGCTTCTGGAGGGAAGGAAGTTGGCTTTTAGCTGTCACAGGAAGTGGGCAGATAGGGGTTGGGGATCATCGAGGGGCAGGCTGGGCCTTGTTGAGGGCCCAGGGAGGGTCAGGAAGAGAAGCACCGTGGGAGACTCACCTTGCAGTTAGGGCTCGACTTCTTGAAGACCCTAACAAAACAGAAAGGGAAACCCCACTGCCTCCCTCAGACTCAGCAGGGACCCGGATGCCAGGACCTTATCCCTCCCCATCCTCAGCAGCAGAGCTCACCCCGGATTCCTGCCTAGAGGCTTTGGGGCTTTGTCCAGCCCCTCCCCCCCCCACTTTTCCCCAAAAAGGTAACCAGAGGTCCTTAACATTCCCATCTTGGCAGCCCCTCAAAGCTGGTTGTCATGGCAACCCCCCTCCACCCGCACTAGTTCCCCTAGATCCCCTCCTCCACCGCAATGGCCGCTGGTTGCCACAGGAACCACCCTGGCTCTTCCCCGAGGACCTCCCCCAAGGGGACCTGAATGGGCAGGTTGCAGTATTGTCTGCAAGAGACCTAACCCTCTTTCCATCTTCTCTGGACTCCAGCTTCAAAGACAGCTGGAGGACTTGACAGGCTTCGGCCTTTGCCTTAAAATGGTTTCTACTCTAGGCACTACCTAAGTGTGACCCTACTCCATGAACCTCGAATTCTCCCCATCTCTAATCTCAGCAGCTTAAAAGCTTGTTTCTCTTTCAAGGTCCAGCTCGGGTATCACCTCCTTTAAAAAGGGGAGCAAGCCCAGACCCTGGTCCCTCCTTTGGGTTCATGTCATACCTTGTTTATGTGTTATGTGTGGCATGGTTCCATGCCAGGGCAGTTAGCTGTGTACTGCCTGCTGCACTAGATAGACCGTGAGCAGCAGAGGCCTTATTCCGTTAGGTGTCCCCAACACAATGCCAGGCATACGAAATGATGATGATGCTAACATTTACTGCGTGAATACACCCAGCCCTGTTTAAAGCGTTTCATGTGTGTTATCTCATTTAATACTCTTAACGATGGAGGTCCCAATATTCCTATTTTATAGGTGAGGACACTGAGGCCCAGGAGCGGTCAAGTATTTTGCCTAAGGTCACAGTGTACATGGTAGACAAACAGGCGGTCTGACTCCGAGTCCATGCTCTTAGTCACTGAACTATTATACGGCCCTGCCTTTGTAATTGGCATTAGGTGTGTTGGGTTGAAAGGGATTCACTTCCCAACTGCTACAACAATCCAGGCCTGGGCTCCACCCACTGCTGGAAGAGTGGGGAAGTAACTGGCAACTCCAAGGCTCCGGCCACTTGGGGGCTTGTTCTTTGCTGCACCACCTCCTAATCCGCTCTGCCTCAGCGGTGACCTCTGGGAAGGGTCCCCAGATAGGAGACGCTGAAATCCCACCAGCTGGCCTCTCCTTCCTCCAGCCCCACCACCCATTTCTGCTGTAATCACTTTACTTGCCCCTTCTTCCCAGAAGGGCAAGCTATCCAAAGGCCCTAAGGCAGAGGCTAAGGAGGTCCCCTGGGTATCCCCATCCAGTAAAGCAGAGTAAACACTGACATGATGGCCAGCTGGACTGAGCACCCCTCCTCTTGCCCCAACTTGGTCTGACTGCTATGGCACCATCCAGCTCTCCTTTGCTTCTGGTTTTCCTTTGTCCCAGTGTTTCTTCCTATTAGGAGCCCTGGCAGAGGACTGTGACATCCACAAGCCGGTGGCCAAGTGGAGTGTCGGTTTGTGGTAATTGCCCTGGAGCAGCTGCAGAGCACCTGCCTTCTGGATCCTAACTCAGCCAACCTCCTGCCAGGCTAGGGAGAAGCAGCGTGTGTACACTGAAGCTGGCCAAGGAGGTGGAGTGTGGGGGTGATGGGGGGGGGGGCACAGAAGCAGATGCCCCCTCACACTTCCTGCTATTATCTACATTTCCTGTGGCCCAGAATTTGATGGGAGGAATTATGCCCAAGTCAGCAATCCCCCTTTGGTCCATCCTTCCCTCTCCCCGAACCACATAACGGAAATCGGGGGCCTCCCTCCTCAGTGACTTCCCCTTTCTCTGGGTTGTTTAACCCCCAAACCAGGACACCAGTCCTTTCTCGGATTCTCTCTCCCCAATACTGATTCTACTTGGTGCTCAGAAACCTGGGTTTCCCTACTCTATAGGCGGGGAGTGGTGGGGCTGGTATGGCACTGTTTTGCAGAAGAAGTGACAGCTCAGGACCAGGCCCCTCTTCCTGATGCCCTCTGGATAGAGCTACACAGCCCCAATCTTTTCCTCTTGCGCCTGCTCCCCAGGGCCTCAGGCATTCGCCCACTGCCCCCTTGGGGGTGTTGGGTCACAACAGGAAGTGGATTGTGTGAGATCAAAAACCAGAACTCGGGGTGCCAGTGTACGGAAGGAGCCTCGATTGCACATAAAACATCCGGGGAGTGGATGGGGGGCCCAGGGCAGATACCGCCTCCCCTCACCCGCGGGAAGAGGGGTAAGGCCCAGGCTCAGGGAGGATCGCCAAGCGCTCAGCTCTCTTAAAATGAGGCTGTTGCTCCTAGCAACCCTGGGGAAGGCAGAAGTTTGGAAGCTGAGCTACCCGGCCCCCGGGACAGGTGGGGGCAGCCCCACTGCCTGTGGGGTCCTGAATAGAAAGCTTCCTAGTGGCTAAGCACGAGTCTATGGGGATCCCCCTTCCGGCATCCAGCCTGCCCATATCCGACCCCTCGGGACCGGCCACCTGCTCTACCTTCCTGCGCCCCGGCATCGCAGCCTGCAAGGGAGAACCGAGTCACCGGACCCCACATCCCCGCCTGAACCCAGACGCCGGTTTCCTGGGTCCCTTGAGCACTCGCTTTCTGCAGGGACTCCGTGTCCCCCGCACTACCCCCGAGGACCTAGGCGTGCGGCCCCAGATGGCTGCCCCCCAGGCTCCCGATTCTCTCCCCAGGGTCCCTGTCTGTAGACCGTCCCAGCACCCGCCCGGAGCCGCCGCCCACGTCCCGCCGAGCGGCCCCACCTCCCTTACCTAGT